CCAGCCCAAATCCAGGCCAGGTTTTCCCTCCCGTTAAACCCCAGCCCAAATCCAGGCCGGGTTTGCCCTCCTGTTCCAGATTCCAGCCCAAATCCAGGCCAGGTTTTCCCTCCCGTTAAACCCCAGCCCAAATCCAGGCCGGGTTTGCCCTCCTGTTCCTGATTCCAGCCCAAATCCAGGCCAGGTTTTCCCTCCCATTCCCAATCCCAGCCCAAGTCCAGTCCAGGCTTTCCCTCCCGTTAAACCCCAGCCCAAATCCAGGCCGGGTTTGCCCTCCTGTTCCTGATTCCAGCCCAAATCCAGGCCAGGTTTTCCCTCCCATTCCCAATCCCAGCCCAAATCCAGGCCGGGTTTGCCCTCCTGTTCCTGATTCCAGCCCAAATCCAGGCCAGGTTTTCCCTCCCATTCCCAATCCCAGCCCAAATCCAGGCTGGGTTTTCCCTCCCGTTAAACCCCAGCCAAAATCCAGGCCAGGTGTTCCCTCCCGTTCCTGATTCCAGCCCAAATCCAGGCCAGGTTTTCCCTCCCGTTCCTGATTCCAGCCCAAATCCAGGCCGGGCTTTCCCTCCCGTTCCTGATTCCAGCCCAAATCCAGGCCGGGCTTTCCCTCCCGTTAAACCCCAGCCCAAATCCAGTCTGGGTTTGCCTTTCCATTCCTGATTCCAGCCTAAATCCAGGCCAGGCTTTCCCTCCCATTAAATCCCAGCCCAAATCCAGGCCGGGTTTGCCCTCCCGTTCCTGATTCCAGCCCAAATCCAGGCCAGGCTTTCCCTCCCGTTAAACCCAGCCCAAATCCAGTCCGGGTTTGCCCTCCCGTTCCTGATTCCAGCCCAAATCCAGGCCGGGCTTTCCCTCCCGTTAAACCCCAGCCCAAATCCAGGCCGGGTTTGCCCTCCCATTCCCAATCCCAGCCCAAATCCAGGCTGGGTTTTCCCTCCCATTAAACCCAGCCCAAACCCAGGCCGGGTTTTCCCTCCCGTTAAATCCCAGCCCAAATCCAGGCTGGGCTTTCCCTCCCATTCCCAATCCCAGCCCAAATCCAGGCTGGGTTTTCCCTCCCATTAAACCCAGCCCAAACCCAGGCCGGGTTTTCCCTCCCGTTAAATCCCAGCCCAAATCCAGGCTGGGCTTTCCCTCCCATTCCCAATCCCAGCCCAAGTCCAGTCCAGGCTTTCCCTCCCGTTAAACCCCAGCCCAAATCCAGTCCGGGTTCGCCCTCCCATTCCCAATCCCAGCCTAAGTCCAGTCCAGGCTTTCCTGCAGATCAATTCCCAGCCCAAACCCAGTCCAAGTTTTCTGTCCCATTAGTCTCCATCCACAATCCAGTCCGGGTTTCCGCACAGGTTAACTCCCATCCTAAATCCAGTCCGGGCTTTCTCCCATTCCCAATCCTAGCCCAAATCCAGTCCAGGCTTTCCCTCCCTTTCAATCCCATTCCAAATCCACTCCAGGAAATCCCTCCCATTCAATCCCAATCCAAATGCAGTCCAGGCTTTCTCTCAGATTAATCCCCAGTCCAAACCCAATCCAAGGTGTTTTTTGGTTTACATCCCAGTCCAAGTCCACTCTGGACTTTCTCCCATCCCAAACCCAGTCTAGGTTTTCCCTCCTGTTAATCCCCACCCCAAACTTAGTCCAGCCCTTCCCTCCCGTTACCCCCCCAATCCCGTTAACCCCCCCACTCCCGTTATCGTCCACTCTGGACTTTCTCCCATCCCAAACCCAGTCTAGGTTTTCCCTCCTGTTAATCCCCACCCCAAACTTAGTCCAGCCCTTCCCTCCCGTTACCCCCCCAATCCCGTTAACCCCCCCACTCCC